GATTGATTTTATTTTTTAAATGTCAAAATCCATTATAAAATATTAAAAAACTTAAGTATTATAAAGTCTCCGCAGTTAAAACAACATGACAAGGGCACAGAAATAATCAAGAAGATCAATGAAATAAAATGAGCATTCTAGAAACAAACAGATGTATCTAACAATGTAATATATGATTAAATTGATAGTTCAAGTCAATCAGGAGGAAAATAAGGCTTACTCAACAAATAAGGTGCACGGGCCACTATTACTTGAAATAAAACAAATATAGAGCCCTATTTCACACATTATACAAGAAATATTCAGGTGAGTTAAAAATCAATATGTAAAATCTAAGGAGATTTAGGAGAAAATACAAACTAATATTTTTGTTACCCTGAAGTAACATATTCAAACCCAGAAGCTATAAAGTAAGACATTGACAACATGACTATATCAAACATTTAAGACTATATAGTAATATACATATTTAGAAAAAGGTTAAAGGACAAGTAATAGAATAGGAGAGTATTGGCAACACATCTGAAAAAGGATTAGTAGTTTTTTGTGTTTTTTTTTAGGGAAAAACATACTACAAACCTTTAATCAAAAAATGGATAAGGAATACCAACACGTCATTTAAAGCTTTTTAAAAATAATAGAAATGGGCAAGCAATAGACAAAAACAGGTTTAGTTTCAACAAATAATAAAGTAACAATTAAAAGAACACATCATTGTCACTATCAGATTAATAAGTACTAAATAAGTATTAATAAGTATTGGTAACATCAAGTATTCGTGACTGTGAAAGGAACTGGGTATTCATAGACTCTTTTTCTTCATCTTCTTCAAGCAGCCCCTTTAGCATATCTTTCAATGCTGGGTTGATGGAGGTGTATTCTTTTAGCCTTCTTTTGTCTGGGAAAGTCCTTATTTCGCCTTCCATTTTAACTGAGAGCCTTGCTGGGTAGAGCAGTCTTGGTTGCAGGCCTTTGCTTTTCATGACTTGGAATATTTCTTGCCATTCCCTTCTGGCTTGTAGTGTTTCTGGTGAGAAGTCAGATGCTAGCCATACCAGGGCTCCCTTATATGTTATTACCTGTTTCTGGCTGCTGCCTTTAGGATTCTGTTTGTCTTTGATATTTGCCATTTTAATGATGATGCGTCTTGGAGTGGGCCTCATTGGGTTCCTCTTGAATGGGACCCTCTGTGCTTCCTGGACTTGGGTGACTGTTTCTTTCCTCCAATGAGGGGAGTTTTCCATCATTACTTTTTCAAACAGGTTCTCTATCTCTTGCTCCTCTTCCTCTCCTCCTGGTATCCCTATTCTACGGATATTACTACGTTTCAGGTTGTCCTGCATTTCCCTAAATGCCTCTTTGTTTTTTTTTGAGATTTTTTCATTTTCTTGCTCTTTCTGGGATCTTTTTTTCTACCTTGTCCTCCAACTCGCTGATTGGATCCTCTGCTTCATCTAGCCTGCTTTTGATTCCTTCCACTGTATTCTTCATTTCCTCTTGCCCCTTACTGGTAGTTTCTGTGTCCTTTTTCATGCAGATATAGTTTGCAGTAAGTTCCTCGTAGTTTTGCCTGTAGTTATTGGTAATTCCCTCTGAGCTCACTGAGCTCATTGAGCTTCCTTAGAACCGCTGGTTTGAACTCAAGATGTGATAGGTTACTTGCCTCTATTTCATTTAGTTCTCTTTGTGGGGATTCCTCCTTTCCCTTTGACTGGGGGGTGTTTCTTTTTCTTCCCATTGTTTGTGAGACTCTTCTTTTTTGCTTCTGATTCTTAAATTGATCTGTCTTGATTTCCTGACTTTGTAGTGTGAACTTCTATGGTTGGTAGGAGACTGCTGTTTTCTCTTTCTGGATCTGCCTCTGATGGTGTCAGATGTTGACCCTCTCTGACCTTAGGCAGTCTGTTCGAGACTTCCAGGAATCTACCGTCTGTGGCTGTCTTCTTTAACTGTTAATCTAGTCACTCTGGACTCAGCAGGCAGGTTTAGATAGCACAGGGTGGGGTGTAGTCCCTCCTGGGGGCAGTATGGCCTGGAAAGCATTATGCTATGTGAAATAAGCCAGAGAAAGACAGGTACAATATGATTTTACTCAAATGTGAAATCTAATGAAGGAAATATACTAACAAAATAGAAAGAGACACATAGCTGTCAGAGGGAGGCGGGTTGTGGGATTGGATGAAATAAGTTAAGGGATGAAGCAAACAAACAAACAAACAAACAAACAAAAAGAAACACGTCATAGACACAGACAACAGCATGGTGATTACCAGAGGGAAAGCAGTAGGGGAGGCAGAAGAGGGTATAGGGGGCATAAATGGTGATGGAAGGAGACTTGACTTGGTGTGGGAACACACAATACAATCTACATATAATGTATTATAGGATTGTACCCCTTAAACCTATGTAATTTTAATAGCCAATGTCACCACAGTAAGTTCAATAAAAACTACCAAAAATAAATAGATAAATAAAAACTTTGAAAGTTTCTACAATGGGAAAAATTCATAAAAGTAGAAAAAAAGAATTGCATGTATATGATACATGAAGCCAGTAAAGAATAACTAATTTTCAGAAACTTATATTCCATGCATTCAAGGTCTATAGTCCTTCATATAGGGCTCAACAACAATTGAAGAGAGTGGGCTGGTCATTGTAACTAGTTCCTGAGACCACCAGCGTCTTCAATTATAGACTTTCATATCAAAACTCACAAAATTCAAATTTGATACAAACCTGTAATTATTATATAAAATTGAATTATAATTATCCTGGTATTCACCCATTAAAAATATTGCCCAAATCTTTAAAAAACTGAAAACAGACCTGGGTCTATAAGCATATTTAGGCCCCATCTTGGTATGCTCATTTCATTCAGGCTAAATTTGCATTTGTCCCTTAATCACAGTGATGAACCAATATTCTACCAAGAGAAAACAAATTAATTCTGAGCTCCTGAGGAAAGAACCTAGTAGATCTTCTATTATTTCTTACCTAATAAAGCTGCATTCAACTAGATCAAACAAGGATATTATCCATTTTATGTCTCTGACACAATTCAAGCAGAAGACATACGTTTATGTCTTCAAAGAACAGAAACGTGCGCACACACACACAGAGACTCTGATATCTTTTAACTACAATCAGAAAATCAAAGACTGTAAATCTCTTTTCACATCGCATAACAATAAAATAAGTGAGAGCACACCCAAGATGACAGAGGTCTGGTACAAACAATTAGGATGGATAATTAAGGTGTATACAAAACTTTTTAAAAATATATTCTATTTTTTAAAACAGCAAAAAATAAACTATAATTCTTATTCTTGAATATACACATGAGCACCTTCTGGTACAACATGTTTTGGAATTATACTGCAAAGCCTTCCAACTCATAAATGCTTTCTCTATTCACATCAAAAACTGAAGCCTAGACTTCCATTATTTGAGATAAATTCCCATGGATTCCAATACTGCCCTCTGTTAAAAGGCCATTGATAGAGATTTCCATTATCAATGATGACCATAAATTCATTAACTGATTATATCCCCTTAGCTAGGAGAAAGTTTGGTGGTGTGGATGTAGGTGGAGTAAAAAGAGAAAATTGGAATCACACACTCCACTGTCAAAGGTACCTAGACCTGAAAGAATATTTCACAGAAAACAGGAGATCAGAGTTGGAGTCCATCTAATCAATCTAAATATAAGGTTTCTTATCTGAAAAACGAGAAGGCTGAATTTTATGATCTCTAAACAGTCCAAAAATAGAACTTTTGTGATGTGAGGTAGGTCTGGCTAGAAGTGCAAAGGCAAACACAAAGGGTTAAGAAGGTGGGAAGCAAAATGTTACTAAGGATGATCAGAAAAACCACTGTGAAAGAAGAGAGGAAGGAAACTAAAGAAAATGTCTCCATAACTGAAATTATGTCAAAAGATTAACTAAACGTATTAAAAAGAGAAATCACAGTTGTACAGAAAAATCATACTATTGCCTCAGGGGTAAAGAGACCATAAATAGAAATAGAGAGAGAAGAATTCTAGAATCACATTGGGTCACTGCTTTCCTCAAATCTGTATTAAAAAATTAAAATGAAACTAGTTTTGCCCAAGAAAATTATGCTCTTAAAACTGAAAGGATGATTAGCAGTGTTGATGGGTTTCCTGGAAAATGGAAAATACTGACTTTTATGTGTTCTCTTAGGAGCACTAGCACTAAAATGATTATAGTAAAATTCACTTCATTATTCAACAGAAATTTTATAGTATCTAGCATGTGCTTCTGCTGAATGTGAGAAGGGACACAATGATGAAAAATACACCTATAATTTCACACAACATAATGCAAAAGATATGACCAATACGTGAATAAACACAATTCGATATGATGCAACTGGGCTAAGCAAAGGTTAGGGTTTGAAAGAAGAGTTTAAGAGTTTTTGTGTTTGTTTTTATTTTTGAAAGATCACAGTTCCTTCACATTTTCATTCACACTAGCCAAAGTCCAGAATTTCTAAGGACAAGTTTAGATGCTTAATAAAGAACAGCAGTTCCTGAACCATCTGCTTTGCTCAAAAATGAAGATCTGTCACAGGAAAATTTTCATTTTACTCCAACCCTGCGAGAATATTATTGTCAGCGGGGGTAGGTAACATTTGATTTATAATAGAAATGGTTAACAAATCATGCTTTCTAAAATGGTTACTATCAGTGACTCTTTTGGGTGAAAAGAGGAAAAAAAAGCAAACTATCCTGAGTCCAATAGTTACTCACTTTCAGCAAGTTTCTTTGATCCATTTAAGTGTCCTGTTACTAATCTTCTGATGAAGAAATGTAGAAAACACAGCATGTGAAGTTAACAACAAAACCTTGTTATAGTCAGACAAAGATATATGACAGAATACCCTGAAAGGTTTTTTTTAAGGAAATCATTTTTGCAAATTCATTCCATAAAAAATACTGCAGATTATAGTAGCCCGATACTATATTATTTTACTCTTACCTGGTAAGGAACAATACTGCCATGAGCTGTGCCCCAACGTTCCGCTTCCTTTTGGACAATAAGATAATTCGCAGCCACCTGGGTCAAACATGCCACCTACCAGGAAAAAGAAAAAAGAAAAGAAAGGCTAGTGTATCTATACTCACTTATTAACAAAAGGTTATAATATGAAAGTTCTAATTTGATTTCACTTTATGTCATTGTAGAGGAAGAGAGAGAGAAAAACTCTGAACAAGTTAGAAATATGCAGGCATACATACTTTCCACATACAAAGAAAGGAAGAGCAATATTACATTAGTGCATCAGACTAATACTGAATAATGATCACCTGAAATATATAAGCACAGAAACATTTAGCTCCTGAAAAGATCATCGAAGGCAGAGGCTGACCCAGCAAACAAAACCTGGTCAAGCCTTTACCATCAAAGCCTACATCAGCAACCTGAACATTCCTTTCCCCTCTCCACCTGTCCTTTTACTTTCCATCAAACTGACACAAAAAGAGACTGTATCATCACTGAGCAGGTGAACCAAAGTCAGGAGCCACAGTCCTCTAAACCTGTCATTAAATACATACATACATACATACATAAGCCTCTATTTTTGTTCAGTTTAGCCAAGTTTTCTGTTACTTGCTGCCCAAAACATTTTTACTAATACAAAGGATCAAGATTATTTGACTTTTGCCTTCGCTGGTGTGGCTCGGTTGATTGAGCACTGGTCTGCAAACCAAAGGGTGGCAGGTTCAAATTCCAGTCAGGGCACATGCCTGGGTTGCAGGCCAGGTCCCCAGTAGGGGATGCGCAAGAGGCAACCACACATTGATGTTTCCCTCGACTTCTTCCTCCCTTCCCCTCTGTCTAAAAATAAATAAATAAAATCGTTTGTTTTTTTTTTAAATGACTTGACTTTTTTATCCACTGATAAATCAACCTCATTTAAACAAAAATTACTGTACCTTTCCCACCTTGCTTCTGGCCCCCTGCCCTCAAGAAACATAGTTCTATTAAAGGGGTCATCTAAAACATCTGACTCTTGCAATATTTCATATGCATATCTTGAAAACCCCCAATAATTCAATTCCATATGAAGATAACATGAAGGTAAATGATTTGATTCCTAGAGATCAACCACGACAAACTTATGTTCCAGTGAATATCCATGTTTCCAAGGGCCCAGAACTATGGCAAGGAGATGACCTAATGACAACTTTACAGTTTCCAGGAAAAAGTCTTCTCGGCTCATAACATAATCAAGGCATAGCATAGATTTGCTTTTCCCGTTCTAAATCATCAGATGTGATTGGGGTCTACCAGGCCAACAACCCCAAACATATCCCACATAGACATTGGCTCCTGCCACAATTCAAGGGGTGATATTTCAAGACTTGGTGCCACAGCCTGTTATTGCCCTCAGCTTGGCATGAGAGCTATGCCTCCAACAAGGGCTATCGAAAGGGCTTGGCCTGAATGAATCTCCTTGCAGCAGCAGGCATTCTCCTTTAATGTATTCTTGGGATTTACACTGATTTTTATGTTCATTTACTACTCTGTTGAAATTGGAACTGCCTTATGGCAGCTGGTTCGGCTGTACTGCCCAGGTGGCAAAACTAATAAACTTTGAGTCATCCACTTCTGGACCTCCATCTGGTCTTGGACATTTGAACCATGGAGCATTCCAAGGCTGCCTGGGGCTGCCTAGTGTTAATCACCATTTCACAGATCACTTCTGTGTCTTTCAAAATGGAAAATCAAATCAACATTTTGTAGTAAAAATGCACTGGATGGGAAGTCCTGATTCTGGTTTCTAATTTTGGTCAACCTTTAAGTAACTGTACAACTGTAGATATATAATTTAACTATCCTGACCTTCAGATACATTCTCTATAATCTTCGGCGTGTAATCTAAACCAATATTTCTAAGCTTTTCATAAAAGAGCAGAACTCCTATATCAAATCACATAATACATGGAATCCTAATATATAAGCAGATAATACCCCCAAGGGCTCTGACCGAAGCAGAGACAGGCCTGCAATGCTAGCTAGGCAACATGAACACAGAATACAATTTGCAAAACAGTAAATGGTCTTAAATTTGCTTCCAAGTTCTCTATACTTCTGACTCTATTATTCTTCTTAACAATCTGGCAGATAAAAAGAAAGCAGGGATGCAATAGTAGTAATTTTCCTATGAAGGCTTTTTCTGAAGTTGAGTAAATATTCTCCAGTCTAAGGTTTTTCTATTTTCTTATTTACGAGAAACGTCCTCCTTTGATCTAGTATGTTGGGGGTGGGGGTAGTGCAGGGTGGAGGGAGTTGTTCCTTTCAAATAAATTCTGATTAAAACACTCTCTAAGGTGCTCAGGTGCTACTGGAGGCAAAGAATTCATGTTAATAAAAATAATCCCTTGCAAGCATTTAGTCACAACAGGCTTGGTATTCCCACTTCTCTAATTTCAAAGTTAACTGATAGTTAATACGTCAATATCAGCAAGGGCTGCATGACCTAGTGGACTGACTGGATGATCACAGGTTAAACTGCAAATCCTACATTGAACTGAGGCAACTGCCAGGGTTAGGCATGGGCTAGATTCTACCTGGCTGTTCTCATTTCTTACCCACTACCTTCTTTTTTCTTCTCAATTTTGGCTTTTGTGCTGTCTGACTTTGCTTGATGAGCTATCTTTGACAATTATTTAATAAAAGTAGCCCCATTTAGACTTAGTTTGAATGAAAGATCAGAGCTCATCTCATTGACTGTTTCCTTTCTCCATGCAGTTCTGACTCATGAAAACGAAAAGCATGTCAGAACTAACAGGCTCCCTCTGGGTAGAAAGATTAAATAAGATTTTAAGCCAGCTGTCATCCAGAAACAAAGTATGATTTGTCAGTAAATACTCAGAGGCAAAGTTAGGGTGATAATAATTCTACTTTAGCCTTGGTCGGGTAGTTCAGTTGGTTGGAGCATCATCCCATGCAGCAAAAGTTCATAGGATAGATTCCTGGTCAGGGAACATACCTGGGTTGTGAGTTTGATCCTGGGTCGGGTGTGCATATGGAGGCAACCAACTGATGTTTCTCTTTCACTTCAATGTCTCTGTCTCTGTCCCTCTTTCTCAGTCTCTCCCCTCTCACCCCTCCCTTCCTTCCACCCTCTCTCTTCTATCCTGTCCATTTCTCTCTCCCTAAAATCAATAAACATAATAAACATATCCTTGGATGAGGGCTTAAAGAAATTCTACTTTGAAAAAAGAGAGCAGCTAGATTAAACTTAGTAACCCAACGTTTAAAAGGGGTATTACAGATCTGAAAGTAATCTATTTATAAGGATGTATTTTTAAGGCAGGAGATGGGGGTGAAAGGCAACAGTTATGATAGTTTTCTGTATGAAAAATCAGAGGTTTCCTGACAGTTAATGACAAATTTTCCAAAACCAAAAGAACATAGGATGTGACTTTTTGGTTAATAAGTACATACTGTATATCTACTCTAAATATTACATTAGATCATTACTTTCATCCCCCAAACTTAGACTCATTATTTCATCATGTGGATGCTATATAATTTACTCAGAATGCTGCCTTTATATGGATTCATCCAAACAAAAAAAAGCCAACTTTGGTTTAATAATAAATAGTCTGACAACAAAACTATTATTTTAAATAACATAGTGGGTCCTGATATTCTTTGTGTCTGACCAGAAAACCAATGGGGTGGTCAAAGTGGATCCAAAGGGCACAGTCCCAAAAGGCTTGAGGAATAAGACACCCAATTATTTCCCAAAGCAGCTCCATGGTGTCTGCCACCACATATTTCACTCCTACCAAATGAGAACCACGCTGCAATAATAGAATCTTTCATCTCCAAAAGGATGAACAAGTATGACAAGTAAAGTGGGGAAAACAAGACTGGAACAGTGGTCCATTGCATCAAAATGGGTAACTTCCCCCATGCTCTCTGGCATATATTCTGGCCTCTAAAAAAATTGGACTAAACACCAATTATTATGCTTCACTTCTGCACTTGTCAATATCTCCATCCATTCTTCAAAGTCCATTTCAATGTCTTCCTATCCATTAAGTTCTCCCATCGTCCAACCAAAAAGAATTATTTTCCCTGCCTCTGAACAAATACAAGATGTTAATTTGCCTGAGTCCTGCTGCACTTTCACAGTCAACCTTATAATACAATTAGAATTATAAGATGAAAAAGCTAAAAAGACCTAGATCAATAGTTCCTAAACCTGGTTTTTTGCATCACAGTCACCTGGGGAATTCCCAAAACTACTGAATCAGACTCTCCAAAGATGAAGCTTGGAAATAAAAAATTTAACTCATTAATTGCACACAAGATAGAACAACTGAAGCCTTAGGAAAGTGTAGTCAAATTCCTTAATATTACAGATAGTTAAATAAAGAAATATAGAGAAGGAAAATGATTTATCTGAGGTCACACAGCTGGCAACTGGCAGAACTTTGAACTACTCTAACTACAGTGCCTCTCTCCATGTTACAATATTATTTAAATTAGGAAATATCACTCTTTTTAAATTGGGAACTATCTCTGAGTAAAAATTATGTATTATAAACCCTTTTTATGTTCTCATCACACCTAACATAGAGCTTCCACACTAACTTTTTTAACACATGAATGACTAATTACTGCTGTTTATTTATTCAACAGATAATAGATGTTGCTTTATGTTAGGCATTACTCTAGGTATTGGGTATACATAAGTAAATGTAAAAGACTGCCCTCTTAGTACTTAAGAATGGTGGATAAGACAACTAAGCAAACAGTTACAGGAACTGACATAGGGAGAGGAGATGGAGGAGAACTTTAAAAACACAGAGAATAATATGTGTGAAAGCCATAAGCCTGGAAAGAAATTGGCAAAGAATTAAAAAAAGAAAACAAAACACCAGATAGTAGACCAATGTAACTGCAGTATGCCGAGAAAGAGACAGGGAATGAAATTGGAGAGGCTAACAGAGGCCAGGTCATGCCAGCCCTAGCAGATTATGGTAAGGAGTCATTCTCTGCACATCTTTTAGAATGATCACTTTAAAAATCACAAATCATATCATTATTGTCCT